ATATATATACTGATCAATAAAAAAAATAATATGCTTTAATGGTAATAAATGATCATTGTTAATAAGTAATACTAACAACCTTAAAAAAAAACTCCCTCTAAAAATGCTTTAAAAAAGACAATAACAAATAAGTTGCTGTTTAATGACTTTTAATTTATATCTTTAATAACATGTCAAAGTAGGAGTATTATTATTATATAGATGTCGTGTCAATAAAATCTATTGATAAAAAAAAGTAATAAGTAAATTAAGTAAAATGTATTTTTAGATATAACGATTTAATGTATAAATTCCAAATAAATTAGGAGATATGTGAATTTATTTTTAAAATAGTAATATATGTTTTTGTTGATAAACCTAAATAAAATAAATAAAAATGTTGTTATCACTTATCAGTTATTCGATGAAATAGATTAGCTATTTTGATGTACAAAAGTAATTAAGAAGACGGTGAAAAGAAAAAAGAACATTATAATCCACGCGTTGGTGGCTAGTTGAGTCACCTGGTTCGAAATCGAGGGCTTGTCTCTTCTCCAATATTCTCTCTCTCTCTCTCTCTCTCTCTCTCTCTCTCTCTCCATATAGATTTGTATACGTAATACGATTTTCTTCAAATCGTCATATTGGTATCTAAGTTAATTTCGTAATGTATTCATGTCTTTTGGGGATCAATCTTGTTCGATTTTGATGCGCTAAGACTGTTCAAAGGTAAATTTTTGCTCTGGGATTTGGATGATGCAATTCACGGTTGTGTGAATTCTGGTTAGGTGATCCGTAAAACCCTAGCTGGATCTCTCCTGTTTTTAATCTGATATATATCAATTTAGGGTTTTTTCTAGATTTATTAGGAGTTCTTGTTCCGGATCTATAACGTGGTTCTGAACCCAATTGGGATCGAGAGAGGTTTTTTAGGTTAGGTTTTGACTGGTATAGATGGCTTCAAATCCTCCATTTCAGGTGGAGGATACTGACGAAGATTTCTTTGATAAATTGGTCGATGATGACGATGATGATTATAAGGTCACTCCATTATCCTCAGAAACGACCAAATTAGCTGATGGGAACGATTCTGATGATGCTAAAGCTTTTGCTAATTTAGGTATCAGTGATGTTGGCACTGGACTCGAAGATTTGGGGAAAGTAGGTGAAGCTTGTTCTTCCATTGATGGGGATACCAAACATGCGTCAACTGACACTTTTTTAGACCATGGTCGTCCGTTGGTTTCTTCAAATTCATTTGCATTTGATAGCGTGAGTGAAGAACCCAATACTGAGGTAGCTGGTTTGGAGGAGCCTTTGGATTCTACAGCTAGTTGGGATCATGGATCTGGAGGTGGTCCTGGTGTTAAGGAGGTGCAGTGGGCAGCTTTTGCTACTGAACCTGCTGAGAATGATGGTAATGGGTTTGGATCCTACAATGATTTTTTCACTGAATTTGGAGATAGTTCTGTGGATCAAATAGGGAAAGGAGGTAACTTGGTTAGTCGGGAACAGAATGTTGTTATGTCAGGAAGCAGCAATGTAGTAGATGATTCCATGCATAGGAAGAATGTTAATGATTACTCAAATCAATTTCAAGACGTCCAGACTTATGCTTCGGCTGGGGAACAAAGTACAGAGGTCCAAGCTTATGCTACAACTGGGGAACAAAGTACAGATGGTCAAGATCAAGATCCAAACAGCAGCCAGTACTGGGAGAATCTTTATCCAGGATGGAAGTATGATGCAAACACTGGGCAATGGTATCAAGTAAATGAAGGTTATGATGATGTACAAGGGGCTCATGATCCAAGTACTACTTCTGAGTGGACAGAGAAACCAGAGGTTTCTTATTTGCAGCAACAAACAGTCCAATCTGCTGTGGAGGCTGTAGCAGAGAAAGGCACGACTGGAAGTGTCACAACTTGGAATCAAACTAATGAGAGTTTATCATGGGATGAGGCTTCACAAGAAAACAATGGGTATCCATCAAATATGGTTTTCGATCCCCAATACCCTGGTTGGTATTATGACATGAACACTCAAGAATGGTGCTCTTTGGATGCATATAATTCTCAAACACAGGAGCAGGTGAACCAAAATGGGTATTCTGCAACTAGTACTTATTATGGTGGGCAGGATCAGACAAAGAAGCAGTTACAGGTAGGATCTGAAGGACAAGATTACAAGTGGAAAGGGTCTTTGAGTAATGTTGAACAGCAAATGTGGCAACCTGCCCAGAACCAGGTTAATCAAAATGGGTTTTCTGCAACTGCAACTAACACTTACTATGGGAATGATGAGAAAACGTTGGGATCTCAAGTTTTTAGTAGTCAAGGACAAGAATACAAGTGGAATGGGTCTTATAGTAATGTTGAGCAACAAGGATCAAGTATGTGGCAGCCTGATACTGTTGCCAAGAGTAGTGGTCCTATGTCAGATCCTACAGGCAACCAAAATTCCCATGGCACTAGTGAGTTCCCTGCCATTTCTGGAGCCCAATCCTTTGTTCCAAGTGGAAACTTTAACCAGACCACATTCAAGCAAGGCGAGATGATGAATATCCCAAAAACCTATGGCAGTATGAACCAATCAGGTTCAGGTTATTCCCAACAAGTACAACCATTTCACAGTGGTGGTCAGCAAGCAGGAAGGTCATCAGCTGGCCGCCCTCCTCATGCTTTGGTTACTTTTGGTTTTGGTGGAAAGCTAATTGTGATGAAAGACAATGCTGCTGCTGCCCTCATGAACACATCCTATGGAAGCCAGGTCAGTATTTTGGGATTTTTTTTTTTTTCTTTACCTAACCTAACAAATATATATATTTGTTTTGTTGAAGGATTCAAATGGTAGGTCAATTTGTATTCATAGCATGGCAGAAATTTCCAGTGATGTGTCGAGCAGTGGAGCAGATTACTTTCAAAGTCTAGGTCGGCAGTCATTTCCTGGTCCACTGGCTGGTGGAAATGTTGGGGGTAAAGAGCTGAGTAAATGGATTGATGAGAGGATCACACACTCTGAATCTTCTAACATCAATTACAGGGATAGTCAAGTTCTGAGGCTGCTCCTTTCTTTACTCAAAATAGCTTCGCAGCATTATGGGAAATTGCGTTCTCCTTTTGGTACCGACTCCACATCAAAGGTAAATCCCATTGTCTTGCCAATTGCCAATTGCCACACAAGTGATTTGTATGAACATAGAATTTGGTTTGGTATTTTGGAACTTGAACAGGAAAATGATGCTCCAGAAGTTGCTGTTGCTAGACTGTTTGCATCTGTGAAGAAGAGCGGTGCAGAATTCAATTATGGCCACTTCACCCACTGCCTGCAGCAATTACCTTCGGAAAGAGAGACTCAGGTATTCATAATATTTTTATGTATATATATATATATATTTTGTTTGCTTCCAACACTTATGGATATATGTGATTAGGCAACAGCCTCTGAAGTCCAAACTCTGCTGGTTTCTGGTAAAAAAATAGAGGCTCTTCAATGTGCACAAGAGGGTCAACTCTGGGGGCCAGCACTTGTTCTTGCTGCACAACTTGGTGATCAGGTCAGGTCTTGACAGTTTTTCATGCAGAAAGTATATTTTCCTTTCCTTTGATGTATATATATTATTAATTCTTGTATTGTATTGTGTTTTGTTTGCTTGCAGTTTTATGTGGATACTGTTAGAAAAATGGCTCTTGGTCATTTAGTAGCAGGGTCACCTTTGCGGACGTTGTGCCTACTTATTGCGGGTCAACCTGCAGATGCATTTTCAACGGAGACTACTGGTGCTGTAAATATGTCTCAACAGGTAATCATTAATTCTGTTTTATTAAAATGAGTTTTTAGCTATTATTATGTAAAGCATGATAAGAATCTCTGGTCATTTGTTACTTTGGTATAGGCTGAAGGTGGTGGTAATTGTATGATTGAAGACTGGGAAGAGAATTTGGCAGTGATTACGGCTAACAGAACCAAAGATGATGAACTTGTCCTTATCCATCTTGGTGATTGTTTGTGGAAGGAGAGGAGTAATGTAAGCAGCAGCTTAATTTCCCTTTTATGTGATTTTGATTCTTGCGTTTGATTTTTTTTTTTTTTTTTTTTTTTTTTTTTTTTTTTAAATTTTGAATAAATAAATTAGATTATGGCGGCACACATTTGCTACTTAGTAGCAGAAGCAAACTTTGAGGCGTATTCAGACACCGCTAGACTGTGTCTGATCGGTGCTGATCACTGGAAACATCCCAGGACATATGCGAGTCCAGAAGCGATTCAGGTGCCATTCTCAAATCTCAGAGAAGTGAGGTGTTTGGTCTATTAGAATATTTATTGGTTTTGAAATAACTTGTACCTGTGAATGCATCCAGAGAACTGAGGTGTATGAATATGCAAAACTTCTGGGGAATTCTCAGTTCACCCTGCTACCATTTCAACCATACAAGCTTGTATATGCTCACATGTTGGCTGAAGTTGGAAGAGTGTCCGACGCATTAAAGTACACAATACATACAAAACACTCCCCTTTCTTATTCAGCAGTATTTATTTATTTATTTTTGACATATTTATTATTATAATTCATTCAGGTACTGCCAGTCAGTATCAAAATCTTTAAAAACAGGACGAGCTCCTGAGGTAGAATTATGGAGACAATTGGTTTCGTCTTTAGAGGACAGGATAAAAACTCACCAACAGGTCTATATAATGAATAATGAATAATGAATGTTGTTCATCTTTGGTAAAGTAAAGTGGAATTCTAAAATTGCTTTTTTGGTGTGGTGACAGGGTGGATTCTCTACAAACTTAGCTCCTGGTAAATTAGTTGGTAAGCTGCTCAACCTTTTTGATAGCACGGCACATCGTGTAGTTGGGGGGCTGCCGCCACCTGTACCATCAACATCAGGTGGAGGTTTCGACCATCATCATCATCATCATCAGCATCAGCCACCATCACGGGGGGTATCAACCAGTCAATCAACAATGGCAATGTCGTCATTAGTGGCGTCTGCATCAATGGATCAGTGGTCAGACGACGGAAACAACAGAAAGATAATTCACAATAGAAGTGTTTCAGAACCCGACTTCGGTCGATCTCCTAGGCAGCAGCTTCAGGTTGGTTGCTAACTTCATTCATAAATCATATCCCATTCCAATTGATTAATTTTAATTGACAGGGTGGTGCTGACACATCATCATCTTCAAAGGAAAACTCTGCTGATTCACAAACTAAATCATCATCTGCATCTGCATCTGCATCTGCATCTGGGATGGGGATTACTTCACGTTTTGGTCGCTTCGGTTTTGGATCCCAGCTCTTTCAAAAGACCGTGGGATTGGTTCTAAAGCCACGTGGTGGTGACAAACAGGTAAACAGCCATATTCATCTACATTTACATCTACATCTACTAAAATAAATCATCTCTTTTTTCCTTTTTTTTATTTGTAGGCGAAATTGGGCGATACAAATAAGTTTTATTATGACGAGAAACTTAAGAGATGGGTAGAAGAAGGTGTTGATCCGCCAGCAGAGGAAGCAGCCCTTCCACCACCACCAACAATGGCAGCCTTCCAGAATGGAACACCAGAATACAACTTAAAGACTGCTTTAAAGAGTGAAGGCTCTCACTCTCACCTAAGCAATGGGAGCTCAGATTTCACAAGCCCAATGCCCATGCCCATGGGAGGACACACTTCAGGAATTCCACCACTTCCTGCCACCACCACCACCACCACCACCACCTCCAATCAGTTCTCTGCACGTGGAAGGACTGGCGTTCGTGCAAGGTGGGTGATTGTTTTTTGTGTTGATATTAATATTAATATTAATAATAATTTGGATAATTGATGAATGGTGTTGGCACTTGGGCAGGTATGTTGACACTTTCAACCAAGGTGGTGGAAACCCTACCAACTTGTTCCAGTCACCACCTCCTGCTTCAAACATCAAACAAACTACAAACCCAAACCCAAACCCTAAGTTCTTTGTTCCCACAGCTTCAGCATCAGCATCAGCAGCCCAACAGTCAGTTGAGCCCTCTTCTGTTGATACCACACAAACACAACCAATAATTCCTGATTCCTTTTCTTCTGTAAACAACTACTCCTCATTCCAATCTTTTCCAAATCCATCTTCCATGAATGTGATGGCCAAGCACAAGTTTGCAAGCATGGATAATGTTTCAGAAGCCGGAACAGCAAAATTCGCAAATCATGCCATGTCACCTGCCTCACGAAGAACAGCTTCATGGGGTTCTTTCTCAGACCAGGCCCAGAAACCATCATCATTCATGCCCATGCCAATGCCACGGGAATCTGGTATGATGCAGTCCCACTCATCCTCACATATCATAGATGATGAGCTTCAGGAGGTGGATCTTTAAGGGTGTAAATATACATATCTATATATCTATTACCCAACTTGGAGATGTTTGTTATAAAGAAAGAGACAGAGAGAGAGCAACAAGGTTAAGTTTTTTTTTTTTTTTTATTATATATATTTTTTTATTATAAGGATTTGTATGTTGGAAGTGCATGCATCATATCATGTACTTAGTTGTTTACTTGTACTTGTAGCGAGTGATTGAAGTGATAGGTTTTGTTAAATTTTGGAGTGGTGGTTTGGTTTCTGCCTTGATAACACCAGAAAGAAGGGAGACGGACCACCGCTGTACATTACAGTAAGTACATTACAGTTAAAACTTAAAATTCCCTCCCTCCAGTTTCAAATACTTCTTGGGGAATCAATCTGATCCTAGCTAGTGTGCAATAGTTTTTTTTCTTCTTTACTTTATATTTATATCACGTAGGGATTTTGTGTTGCTTTTACAAAATCTAGCAAAAGGTTAATCACAACCAATTATGCATACTTTCTTACTATTTTTTAACTGTATTCACAATTTCTTTTTTGGCTTCTCATTGCAACCACCATGGCATTCAATTTGATGGGATTTTTTCATGACATTGCGTCCGTTTCCGTTTTCCACATCATATGACAAAATTACCCTATTAGAATACACTCTGATGATAATGATTAAATGAGAACCCAAAAGAAACTTTAATTACCTATTGAATACATTTAAACATAAATGGCATAAAAAACAATTTGTGTGTTATTTGTTGTCATTTTATAATGTTAACACAAGCCATCTTTTTGGAGCCAAACCTTTGTCTCCAGAGAAATAAAAATTGGAGTTCTTTCTTGGTCCGTTTCTCCCACGTCCACTTCAAATTCCCTCCAGTCTTGGAGCTTGTATTTGTATGGGGCCAGGAGTACATGCTATTGAAATGTGGATGTGCATTTTAGAAAACTGACCTACTCATCATGTTCATTACTGCTTTTTATTTTGCCATTTTAAACATTTCTATACGTTAAATATCCAGCCAATGGTTGCAATATAAACGTGTTCAAAACTTAAAATTTGATTCTTTTAATTACTTTATGATTGTGCTCTTTTTAGTTGGTTGTAACCACAAAGGAAGGATACGAGGCGTTGATCAATATTATTTGGTCGATAAGAAAAAAGGTCATCCCGTAAAAAAGTTATGTTTCTATTGCAAGAAATGCATGTTAAATAAATAAAGAAATACAATTAGCACACTTACATAATAAACAAATTATATAAAGACCAAGATCTTGTATGATAAAACTCAATAAAAAAAAAATGTTCCATGATAGATATAACAATTAATGTCTTTTCAAGATAGACTACAAAAATGAGTCATTTGTATCCGATGAAAAATCACTAAAGTTCCACACACATATAAAATTATAAGGCTAAAAGAACGATGTCAACAATCTTTTTTAAGTCTTAATAATATCTTCATAAACATTTAGAATTTAGAATGACTATATCTTTTTTTTTTTTTTTTTTTTTTTTTTATCTAAGAAGCTTCCATATAAAATTAACGTGTAAAATTTTTTTTGGTTAAATATATGGAAATAGTATAAAATTATAAGGCTAAAAGAACGATTATGTATTATTATTTTTTTAAGTCTCTTAATAATATCTTCATAAACATCTGGAATGATTGTCTTTTTTTTTTTTTTTTTTTTTTAAATCTAAGAAACTTCCATATAAAATTAATGTGTAAAAAATTCTTTGGTTAAATATATAGAAATAGAACACAACCTCACGAATTTGTTATTATAGTTCAACTATACACGATAAACAAAGGAGATATATTAGCTTATAGAAAACACACAACACTTTTGGAAGATTTTTTTTATATATTTGGATGGATTTTGTGGTCACACACACTTATGTCAATTGTTTAGTTTCAATGTAACAATTGCGTATATGATATGACTCTGTTGTCATTTTGTTAATATAATATATACCATCTTATATAAATATTAAAATGAATAAATGTGCATGTTGTAGAGAACAAAATATTTTAAAAAGTAATATTTTAAGTTATAAAAATGATGATTTTTTTAAACATTTTAAATAACAATTGATGTTGTTTGATAAAATTTAAGTGCATGATACTTTTTCCCCTTTTAGATTTGAAATTTATTATCATTTTGTATTTAAAATTTAAATAAGTAAAAGAGTTACCAATTTGGTGCATCCAAAATACTAATTAAATATCAACTTAGATTTAAATTGAGTTTAGTCGTGTAAAGCTCGATGGCGAGCCATATATAACATACATTATTTTGGAATCGATACCATCAACTCATCGTTAATTGTATACTTAAAGTTTTTAGATTTTTAATGACAATGACTTTATCACCCTATATCTTTATTTATGGGTAAAAGTCCAACATGTTTTTACCTAACAATACAATTTAAATATGAATATTAAAAAGTAGTACTTATAAAAAAGTTATACATAATTGTAGTCACCCATACGATGTAAATCATAGTTAGTGGTTGTTAAAAAATTAGTTTAAACTAATTTTATATTATCATTAAATTATTATGTATATGATTTTGGTATAAAATTAATATAAAACTTTAAATTTATATGTTATAGATAATGAAAACAAACTAATTATTTTTAATCAAACTAATATTTATATTTATATCATTTGTGGTTAAAGTTAAATCCTTTATATTTGACATTATTAATTTGATTTTTTTATTAACTTTCATACTTATGTAAAAAAATAACTATAATACTTTTTTCTTGTTCATATTTATTGAGTTATAATAGGTAAAGTTATAAATAACTTAAACATGATTAAGACTATATTAAATCAATATTATATTTATTTTTTATTAATATTTGAAAACTCTAATGAGGTGTATTAATGTAGAAGGAAGTTGAATAGTATGGTGGTTTCAAATTAATTTAGTAAAAGATAAATGATTTATCTTTAACCATATTAAAAACCGAAAAAAATGACATCTTATATATATACTAGGCGAATACCCGCGCGTTGCGCAGAAACACCTATATAGTTGAAGTCTTTACAAATATATGTTTTTTTTAAATATTACAATAGCGTTGTTGTTAAATTTGATATAATAATTTGTATACTAAATTGATATAATATATTGATTATTTTGAACTATATGATAATATATACATCTATTATAACTTCATAATCTCAATCATTTGAATGACTTCTACCCGCGAGTTATACATGAATAAAATTCAATATAATATATGGTTTAATGTTATTTATAGTTGTTGTTATTGTTAATTAATTTTTTAAAATTTATTTGTTTAATGTTTTAATTTCTATCATTATAAACATCAAACATTATTTTTTGATTTTAAAGGTAACAATATACTCATTTATATAGAGTTATTTTTAACTATTGTTATTGTAAGTTGTTTTAAGCTACTTATTTGAAAACTTTTAATGATTATACAAATATCTTTAGGAAATATTTTAGTTAAAATGAGATTACAATTTAGTTTTTGCATTTATCACTACAATTTATCACTTTTAACTATTTACAAAATATTCTTTGATTTTTTAAGTGGAACTAAAATTTATATTTAAGTTGACATTGTAATGCGAAGAAACACTTATATAGTTGAAGTCTTTACAAATATATGTTTTTTTAAATATAACAATAACGTTGTTGTTAAATTTGATATAATAATTCGTATACTAAATTGATATAATATATTGATTATTTTGAATTATATGATAATATATGTACATCTATTATAACTTTATAATCTCAATCGTTTGAATGACTTCTACCCGCGAGTTACACATGAATAAAATTAGATATAATATATGGTTTAATGTTATTTATAGTTGTTGTTATTGTTAATTAATTTTTTAAAATTTATTTGCTTAATGTTTCAATTTCTATCATTATAATTATTTAAAACATCAAACATTATTTTTTTATTTTAAAGTAACAATATAACCATTTATATAGAGTTATTTTTTAACTATTGTTATTGTAAGTTATTTTAAGATACTTATTTGAAAACTTTTAACGATTATAAAAATATCTTTAGGAAATATTTTAGTTTAATTGAGATTACAATTTAGTTTTTGCATTTATCACTACAATTTATCACTTTTAACTATTTACAAAATATTCTTTGATTTTTTAAGTGGAACAGAAATTTATATTTAAGTTAACATTGTAACGTTATATTTACGTTAACAATTTAAATATTTTGTCCAAACTGTTCAAAAGTTGTAACTTTAAACTGATAATGGTTTACATATAACAACATATTAAATCTAATAAATTAAGTATAATATGTTAAAAGTTAAAGACATAACTTTATAAGTAGAAGTAAATATATTATTTTAAAATTGAAAATTAGTTTATTTATGATTACACTTTAGATTTTATATTTATTTAACCTTATTAACCAACTTATAATCATTATTAGAAAGACACTACAACTTATCACTTTTAACTATTTACAAAATATTCTTTGGGTTGTTTAAGTTAAACTAAATTTTATATTTAAGTTGACCCTGTAATGTTATATTTAAATTAATAATTTAAGTACTTTATACAAATTGTTCCAAAATTGTATCTTTAAAATGGTAATGGTTTACATCCAACAATATATTAAAACTAATAAATTAAGTATAATATGTTAAAAGTTAAAAAACA